CATCACTGTCATCAGGCTGGTCACCAGATTCATCACTATGAAGAGAATCAGCATCCTCATACAACGCATCACCCAATCTGTACCCTGTAACAGTCATATTCTGCTGCATTAGAATTTAAGAAAGAGGAGTAAAATTTAGTTATTAAAAGATACTATTCACCCATTTTTATATAGTAGAACTCTCAAACATGCTTACTAATTCATACATTAAAATCAATAACAATTTCTTACCTGTAAGCTTGGCTTGCTCCATAATATACTGGTAAACTGGTTGCTCATACACATAATCCAAATTGGAATAAAGATGTGTCAAGTCACGGTGCTGTGGACTATTGTCTTGTTTTCCCACACTGCTCACACTACTGGGACTTGGTTGCTTGGTGTTGCTTGTGCTGCCATTGCTAGGGCTAATCTGTTTGCTATTGTTAGGACTGGTCTGCTTAGCAGTACTACTACTTCCTGAGCTGGAATTATGATTCTGACTGTTGTTGCTACCAGTATTAACTAGATGTTGAGAACTGCTGCTACTCTGTAGAGTGTCACTCCGATCACTGTCTGTGGTAGCAACAGTGGCACTGGTGGTGTTGGTGGTGGAAACTGCTGCTCCTCGATGTTTACTACAGTGGTGATGGCGGCGGTGATTGCAGCGACGTCCATCTCGCTCAGTCTTTGAGGAAGGTTTACTTGAGCTCTCAGCTGCAGAACACTTGGAAGTCTCCTTGTCCAAGGTGGCTTGTCGTGAATCTGTCCTTCGTGAATTGCTATCAACAGAGCCCCTGCTCCCAGTTGTTCCTGATACAAGTCCAGAATCCACCTGAGAGTGTGGGGAGCTGTCAGCAGATCCACGACCATAATTGGATCTGGTGTCCTTGTCCGTCAAAGTGGAGGCTCCACTGTCTTGACCACGAGGTGAGTCAAAGTTGAAGGGTGAGAACTCATGCTTAGGACTAGGGGGACTTGGACTAGAATCTGATGTGGCGAGTCTGGTGTGGGCACTCGTGCTTGAACGTAGATCCATTTTAAAACGGGATTTTCCTGACTCAAGGGACCTCTGTTTTCTGTGCATCATGGGTGTTGCAAGGCTTTCCAAGCCTGAACTATCAGATCTTTGGCGGTAGTTAAGGTATCCATGAGATCCTAAAGAATCAGGACTACCAGGCACAGCATCCAGGCCCTTTTGGCGACGACGTGGCTGTGGCGTCGACTCAACAGATCGCATAGCCCCAATCAAGTATCTTTCATGCATACCATCTTCATCATGGTATCGTGGCCTTGACATGAAACTGTAACTACGAGACAAAGCCATTTCTCTTGGCCGGTCCATACTGTGTTCAGGTTTTGGATAGTTGGAAACATCAAAACTGCGTTGTTTGGAAAAATGAAGATGTGAAAAATCGTGATGGGGAACACCCTTATACCTGGCAGCTGTTGGGTCTCGGGAATCAGTGTGAGCTCGGCGGTGGGAAGAGGGTGTAGCAGGGCCTGCCTGCTGTGGGTGCGTCGGGGAGGAATGGGAAGACACAGAGTCTGGAGAGCGAGGAGACACCGGGTCACCTTCTTTTTGGCTCTCTCCTACACGCCCAGCAGCTGAGCCACCTCTCCTTGAATCCCGAAGGCCAGAGCTACCACGCGGAGACTCCAGTAATCTATAACCAGATCCTTCTAAGGAGGTGCGGCTTTGGGACATAGAACTGTCACTAGACCTGCCAGATTCCTGAAATAAAATGAACAATACATAAATATATAATAAATCAAAATCAAATCCAGTTGGACTGTACAAATTCATTTCATTACAAGTGTTATCTATTCATTTGTATTTTCTAATGCTTCACAAAAATCTTTTGCTATATCTTTAAAAATATCTTGCTAATAATATATACAAAAGAAAATAGTAAGAAAAGGTAAAGCAGTGTTCTGGTAAAGCAGTTTCATCAAAATTGTGTTTAACAGACATTCTTAACTGATATAAAGATGAACAAATCCTACTTGTCTATATGGGCGACTGTAAGAGAGTGATGATCCCTGCGATGACTGAGAGCTTCGCCGCACTCTCCTTGCACCTCCTGCTTCTCCATTGGCATCAATGTGATGGTGATGGTGTGAACATGAGCCAGTGTGCCTGTGATGGTGGTGGTGATGGTGGTGTCCACTACTGCCACCACTTCCTCCAGTGCTTCCTCCCCCACCTGCTGAGCTGGCATTGTGGGCTGAGGATCTTCGAGAGGGTCTTGGGGAGGGAACTGGGGAAGTCTGAGTGGTGGAGCTGATGACTCTCTTGGAGAGTGAGTGGGGTAGCGAGAGTGCCTCTGAAGCTCCGCCTCCTGTCCCACCTTCTTTCTTCTGCAACGACCCCATGCCAGAGGAGCGTGAGTTTGACGCCCCGCCCGACCACCGCTGTTGCACCCCCGAAGGTCCACTCCCAACTCCGAGCACCATTCCTCTAGACCCACTGCCACTGGGCAAAGATCCCCTTGAACCACTCCCTAAACCCTGTATGGCC